TATTCACCCTTACCGTCCCGTTCCAGCTACACTTTCATCCACTCAGACCAAGACCCCCCAGCATGCTTTGACAGGCATTTACCTACTAGTTGCAACTCTCATGCAAATCCAGAGCGTCACTCCTCTCCTGTCGACAAGCCCATATCCAACCAAGCGGTCCACCCCAATTCAGCATGTTTCATTTGGAGCCCTCGATCCTCCTTCAGATTGGCATGCATCAATGAACGCACATTGCTACAGATCGGTCGACAGGCAGCACTTGCCAGAACATTACAGACCCTCTCCATCTGCTGCATATCGGAGACCTGCCTGCATGACTCGAGCATTGGGCTCACTCTGTGATCCCATTCAGGTGACACCAGCAGTATTTTCGCATTGCGTCTATCCGGTGACGATGCAGTAACGGCCAAGCCGGTTGTTGGTATTGGCCTGGGTCCCCGGGCTGAAGCTGCTCTGGTTGATTGGATCCCAATCAGTAGCCGGATGTGTGCAGTCCCATTAGCTGGCCCCTTCAAAGCTTCAAAGTCGCGCGGGACTAATAGGTGTGTATTCGTCATCGATGCCTACACGCCCGCAAACTGTAGCGATGATTCGGTGAAGAACGACTTCTACCGCCAACTGACCGAGCTCCTTTGCCACAGAAGAAGCACGGACACTGTTGTGCTGGCAGGGGATCTGAACGCTCAAGTTGGAAAATTATCCACTGATGAAATGCATCTGGCCGGTCAGCAAGGTGTAGGCTCCCGTAATGATAACGGTGAGCGGTTACTTCATTTGTGTGAAGATGCTCGCTTATTTCTTGCGAGCACTAATTTCCGACACAGCACCCGCCGGAGGGTGACTTGGCGCCCACCAGCCTCGAACTAGCTATGGACGCAAATCGATCATATTGCTATCAGTTACTGCTGGAGAGGCTGCGTCCAGAACTGTCGCTCGATTTGGCGCACAGGTGGGGACACCGATCATGCACTTGTATGTGCTGACATGCGGATGCGTTTTGGCGGACTCCCATCAAGACGCTGTGAACGCATTGACACCAGCCAACTGACAAAGCCAGCTGTTCTGAATGAGTATCGAAGTACGCTGGCGTTCGCGTTGAGCATTCGCTTACTGAATACAGTTGAAGGTCACTGGTCGCATGTTCACCACACCTTACTAACAGCAGGCAAAGCCTCGCGTGGTAAGTCTAATCGCCAACATGGACACTGGGTCTATTCGTCCCCCCAGCTCCCCCCTCCCCC